CACACACACACATACATACTTTTTTTTTGTTTCCCGTTAACTTAAGATAACCCGACAGCGTGTGTACGATATGAACGCCATTCTCGTCAACATTTTCAATCAAGCTCGATCTCCCGATCAATAACGTGTGTACGCAGATTTATCGATCCGTTCGAACCTTTGCCGACCTAGAAGTCAACACGTCTTCCCAGGAATTCGAACTACGCAGTGGCGCCACGGGAGAGTTCACTGAACATTTCAACAGACAAGTCTCCCCCCACACCCCACCCCCCAAGCCACGCAGCTAATTGGAAAATTGTAAAAGTAAGTTTAATTTTTTGTATTTCATGTATATTTTCTTCCTTTCATGAAAGTAATCCATTTTACCTTTTCACCTGTACGATGTATAATTTTGAGTACCTTCGGGTCCCAATCAATGGTTGTTCATAAACTAAATTAATTCATACGCGTTCTGTTGTTGTTATCTGTATGTGATAAATCATACAGGAACATTTATAGGCTATTAATAACTGACCTAAAAAGACGGATGCAAATTTAAACCAGGATGAAACAAATACATTAGAATAGTCTTGTCCAGTGATTATTTTAGAAATTTCCCCCCCCCCCCCGGGTGGGGGGGGGCACTTCAGATTTTTCGGGGGGGGGGGCGGTGCCCGTTGATTTTTTGCTGGTCATATTTTTGCTCTGGGGGGGGTGGGGGGCAGTGCCCCCCCCCCCGAGATGTAACTGAAAGAAAACCTGGGCTCTGTCTACAACAGTTTCCACCGTCTGAGTTTGTTTAAAAAATTATTTGTAACTTTTTACTATGGCTGATAACAGCATAATGGCTGCAGTGTTGCTTTATTCGGTTTTCTTTTGTCCTTTTTGGTTTATTTTTCATTGTCACAAATATTTTGTGTAGGTAAAAACAATTTTACTGAGCTTTAATTAAAAAGACGAAATACACACACAAAAAAGTCCTTTTTTTTGTTTCAGGCCCCCTTCGGCGTTAAATATATATTAAAAAAGATGCATTAAAATTCATTTAAAAAAAAAAGACTACAGTCACATGAATCACAAGAAACACCGATGTGTAAGCGTTCCAAAACATTTTGTGGCCCCATTATCTTTGCCCTAAACATAGCGATGGCGGCGGCGAAAAAATATCGAAGATTATGATCGTTACGCCCATGATCATATGTAGATCAGATCTCTCCCACTCACTTACACAGATATCGTACCCCACTTTGAATGATGACGTGACGTACTCGGGCACAACGGTGTCTCTGGTGTAAGCTGTACAGATTCGTGTTGGAGGGGCTAAGGTATACTTATAATATACTTCCCCACGCAAAGTACGAACGAGGGTACGCCCTATTGTGTTGTGTACACAGTTTACACTGCATTGGGTTGTCTGGCGAAGGGAAAGGTTGATGTCACTGCAAGTCTGTCAAAACTTTCACAGGTCGTCAGTGCCTTTATTCTTTTCACAACTCATGGGGATTTAAAATATAGAAGAAGAATATAGTGCACATCTTTGGACTTACCACTCCCAGGTATGCATGCAATACATATCTACATATTTATAGACCTTTCCCTGTTCAAGTTTAAGCGTAAAATGTCATGATTAGAAGAAAGAAAAAAAAAGGGTTTTCCATTTTGGTGGTGCTACTCTTAAACAGACGGGTTAGGACGGTAATCTTAAATAAGACTATGAGACATTAACTATGTGTGTGCAAGTTATAACATAACAGTGTTCACTTATACCCTAGCAAATGGCATGTTGACACTGGATTTCGCCCCTAATTCATAACCGTCCAGCGTTAGCAGCTAAATAGATGTTTGTGATGAACGAGTTCAAGCTCCTTTAATAAATACACACACACACACCATCAATTATTAGGTTTAAACCAGAAATGGTTTGCAAAAAAAATCGTGCGTCTAGGGTTTTCATCAATTCTATCTCTTCAATATCACATTTAACAAGCTATTACACTGTTAACTTCATAATTTCCATGGCATTGATGGTTAACATTTATTTTAACAGAAATCTAAACAGATTCACTGATTTAGCTATGACGGTGATCGCTTCCGTCCCGGCCTACCCGGGTCACGGCGGCCGGGCCAGCCCACGGGGCGGACCCCGCGTGAGATCGGAGGGCGAGTCCAACTACGTCAAGGGTCAAGGAACTGTCAAAGAGAAAGTCTTCGACTCCACCGCCCCCATCGTGAGAACCCCGAAGCCCAGTCCGAGATGCCCGTCCTCGGCCTCGAGACAGAACTACAGGGCCGGGTGGTTTGGGAACGTATCGTCATTGCTCAACGGTAGGTGATGATGTTATGCCTAAAAATGTAGGCTGCGACATGACCTTAACAGTGACTATACATTTCTGACAGGGGGTTATAATCCAGTACGTTTCTTTCCTATGACCCGCTAGTGGTTACAGATTCCAACGCCAATTGTCTGGTAGGAGAAGAGAAGAAAAACCCTGTTAGCATTATGGTGCCTAGGAAAGATCAGTGAATGCTTCTGGCAAATGATTCAACATTTTTATAAAAAAAATAGTCTTTTCTTAAACTGAGCTTAAAACAGTTTTCATAAATTCATTCTTGAGTATTGAATTAGATATATAAATAAAACTTGCGATGCGCAATACATCATAGGCAACGCAAAATAGAACATACAATTAATCACATTAATTTGATTGACTTGTTGGCTGCGTTTGCATAATTCCTTCAAACAATTTGACATTAAGAAGACAGTGTTAACGGGAGGAGGGAGAGACCATGATTCGATAAATAGTTCTCAGTTCTATTTTATTCAAATTTCGAGCTGCATACGACAATGCCGAACATAAAGGTTAATATCAAACGCGTGATTGGTTCAAAACATGGCAATACAAATAAGTGCTAGCTCCCATCTGCGTTCGAAGCCATGACTCATCCATGACGTTTTCTGTGTCTGCGTTCAGGGAAGGCGACGCCCAGGCCAGTGACTGCGCCTGGCAGGGTCAAGCCGGAAGCAGAGGTGACGGCCAACATGAGCAGGGGTCCTCGGATGCGGGTAATCGTCAACGAATATGCCCAGAGGGGCGCCAGTCCGAGAGAACCGAGGGTGAAGCCCGAAGCAGCCCAAACAGCAGAAGTTAGTAAGGTGGGTATTTTTTTTTTGATGCCATAAAACATGAGCAAGTAATGACATGGGTGAATTCAGATAAAAAGAGGCGCCCCCCAATGTGGCGCTAATGTTGTGATTGAATCTTACAGATGGCGTCAAAAAGCCAAAATTAAAAAATAATAATAATAATTTTAATGTTCGTAGTCATTGATGCATTTCGGACGACCTGGGAAGTGTTGCAAGACTCCCTCAAAATGAAAATAAAAATGACTTGAGATCTGCCTAAACTTTAGTGAGTTTTTAAAAAAAAATCCTTTATATTAACTTCGCTTTTTTTTCGTTGCTGGCAGGGAAAATCTTCCAACGGCTAATTGACCCACTTTCCGCCAGCCTATGGACCTGATACTTGGCACGTAGACGTGTTGCCGATGATTTAAAAAAAACCCATTCTATTAAGATTTCAGCCTCAACCCCAAACCCTAACCCCCACAAAATCAGCGTTTCCCTGTTTTTTCAATGAGAAGTTTGATGACACTCTTATCACGAAATGAAAGTCTCCGATAACTGCGCTAAATGAACTTCTTTTTTTTTTTTTTTTTTTTTTAATTATAGAATGTGTTTTTTTTGTTTTTATTTTTTTTTTTTTTTTTTTTTTTTTAAATATCGGAAGTGCGTTTGTTTGCGTAATATTTTCTTTTGTTTTCTGAAATAGTTGGTGAAATAAATCTGCGGTGTAGAAGCGAGTGGGTCATTAGAATATCACTATAGTTTGGGGGGCGTGACAAAAATGTGGGGTTACGAGGTTTGGGCCGAGGGGGGGCGTTACTTTGGATTCCTATAAAGTGCGTTACTTGTATGAATGTGTTATAAAATATTCAGCACCAAATTGCTTGACATTAAATTTTATAATGGATCTATACGAAAAGTTTTGTCTTTAAGGGCTGTTTAATGACGAATGCATTATCAAATGAAATCATAGGCCCTCTGATTAATAATTAATTAGATTGAACACAATGGTCATGCAACGAAAGAGATTTTCTAAATATATTATGTTAACTAAGTACAGGAGAAATTGATAACATTAAAATCCTGGAAATGTGCCACACGAGAACCAAAGTAAAGAGAAAGAATTTTAGAAAGGTTACAGTTTTGAAAAAAAAACGTCTATTTATTAATGTATAAACTATGTAGTTTGCCTAATGTAGCGTTGTCAAGTCTAAGAAAAATTATCAAAGACATCAAATGGGAAGAATGATATTTGGCGAACCCATTCAAACCAAGATTTATATCAATTGTACAAAGACCCCCACCCATAGTCGCAACACTAAGAAGAGTCGGACTGCGCTGGGCAGGACATATTGAAAGGATGCCGAAGTTTAGAGCAGCAAAGGTGATCTATGAGCAGAAACCTAAGGGCAGACGACTCACCGGTCAACCTAGAATGAGATGGATCGACGATGTAGTGAAGAACTTACGCCGGCTGGGGGTTCGCTCATGGAGGCGGAAATCTATCCGAATGGAAGGATGTGGTGGAGCAGGCCAGCGCCCTACATGGGCTGTAGCGCCATGATGATGATGATGAAAATGGGAAGACATTGCATTTCATACTTTTTAAGAAAGAAAATAATGTGTGTTTTTTTTTAATTGATGGTTTAACAACTTCAATCTAAATAATGAGCATCTTTTGAATAAATTTTGGTTGCACTTTCATTTCAGGGAGGTAGAATGCACAATCTGCTACACACATACGGAACCATGGCTCTATCTGCCCGCGCCGTGCCGCGCCTGAAGCTGGAGGCTGGGCCGATAGCCGAGCTGAGCCGAGGTAACGCCACGAGGGAGACGCTCTACAACTACGGCAAAAGTGAACCCAACTCTGTCCCCGATCCACGGGTGAAACCCGAAGGCCAGGACAACGCCGACCTTGACAAAGGCAAGAGAATGGGCCTCCTCCTGAACAAGTACGGCCGCGCCCCGCTTTCAGCTCGGGCCGGGCCCAGGGTGAGGCCAGAAGGGGAGCCGAACGCCCGTCTGGACCAAGGTTTCAGGATGTCCCGACTCATGCACGATCCTAAGGGCATGCCGTGCTCGGCGCGCCCTATGCCGAGAACGAACACGATTCAGGCGAAGGAAAACGCTCTAAAAGGTCGAGGAAGCATGGACAAGATTTTTGAAAGTATCGCGCGAAAGACTTACATTTACATGCCGGGTCAACAGACAAGGCAGTACGTGAGGGCTAGCATCGGGTGAATGAAGTCGTCTGTAGATAGAAACCCTTGTTACATTTTCAAATCAGTATTAGTCTAGAATACATAATGTGTTTTAAAATATGATCCTTTAATGTTTCATCTTTCGCCAGAAAAAAAAAATACGATGGCAAAAAATACATATGATTATGAGTGGGTTGGTGTGGCATGGGTCTGTCGACTCTTTGATTCCCCCCAGAATACAGTTCGAGGCAATTGTTCCGATTCAGCTCACGCTTCAAAAGTACAAAGAATGAAAAAGGGCAATTTTTATTCATACGCCGATTGCTTAGAGAGTTTTTGAATTATTTTGTGTACAGATTATGTAATTTAATTGTTAAATTTTTACGTATCCCAGAGTCAATTTAAGGCTAATTTGCATGTGAACCCCACGCCAAAAAGCCCCCCCCCTCCCCCAATAACTCCTCCCCCCATCTCATCATAATAAAAACTCTAAATCTATTTTAGTGTCCGTCAGTGATTCAGTGATGCATGTTAGTTGTCCAGATTGTTCTCTATTGAAGGTAGACCTGCCTCTCAAATCTTCCAGACACCTCACGCTGCCGTGTTTCCAATCACGCCATTCTTTGTTTTTTACAGTTGAAACAATCAATAAATTAATTATTGGTCAACAAATTCTTGTGTTCCTTCGTTTACATTGTTATTATATATTTATTTGTAAAATGTATCCTGCGGGTGGCCTTGAGTTTCTAGTTCCTGAGCAGAATAAGAATTTAAAATTTTTTTAATTTTCTATTTTCATGTTCGACAAACCGTTCCCGCAAGTATAGACTCTACCCAAGTCAACACAACACAACAACTATATTTCTAGACGAATGGCGAAATCCGTTTTACTCATGAAAGAGAAAGGGAACTAGTGGGCGATAGTAGCCTAATGTGATCTGTAGGAGGACGAGAAGTTGAAGAGATCTTCGCTGTAGCCCGGTAACATAAGTTAAAGGCTGCAAGGAATTACGATACAGCATAGTGAGGCTACATCATAGTAAGGCTACAGCATAGTGAGGCTACACCATAGTGATGGTACAGCTTAGTGAGGCTACACCATAGTGACGCTACAGCTTAGTGAGGCTACAGCATAGTGAGGCTACATCATAGTGACGCTATAGCATAGTGAGGCTACGGCATAGAAACACCACAGTGACGCTACAGCATATTGACGCTGCTACAGCATAGTGACGCTACAGTGACGCTAAAGTATTGTGACGCTACAGCATAGTTATGTCTGCATCAGATCCATTTATCAGTTTGGTCTGGAATGAGCCGAAATTTACAAGGTTAAAATATATTTTTAAAAGTGATTTATGTAGCTAAGTAATAACTTTGTTTTTAAAAGAATAGGAAAATCTTTCTTTCTTTTTAATCATTAAGATTCCAATATAAATGTTATGACCACCTTAGCCCCCCAACCCCCTTTCCCCCTTCCCCAAAATCGCTTTCCGAATACGCCCCTGCGTGAACCAATAAAGCTATAATTGTTATTCCACGTGTCTTGATTGATGGATGGGTTGCTGGGAACACTTTTAATTAAGCAGCGTTAAAAAGCAAATGGGTCCCTGTCAAATTCCCCATCACTTGCAGCTATTGTCTCTCCGGCTGAGCAGTAGATCATTGTTAACCCGCCCCAGCAGTGGATCCACAGTAGACCATCGTAAACTACCCAGCGGTGGAGCTACAGTAGATCATTGTAAAACTAGCCAGCAGTAAATGAATTCGTTAGCCATGGTGCGACTCGACATTATCTTTGGAGTCTTGTGTCTGGGAACTCTTCAAGTCCAACTGGGTGAGTTGAGCTGTTTTAAATCGTAAACCATTTCGTTGCTTTTTGGGTCTAATTTTCAAACGCTACCGAGTTATTTTGGAAACCATCAATGTAATATACGTCAATTACCTGGCATACAGTTGTATTATAACATGATCCTTAATAACTTTTCAAAATCACAAGGAATTCCGTGTTGCAATTCTCATTTCACTCTCAGATCAAATAATATATTATTGCGTTGTTTTTTTTTTATGCTAGGATTTTTGTTTTGTAACTCAATAGAACTAGAAGACTACAGACAAATGAAATGTGTTTGTTTAGTTCCGTTTGGAGTCGGGAACGGACCATTAATTCAAACATGAGAACCCGTTATTGGAAAAAATAAATAATTTTTAAAAATATTATAATTTATACATACTTTGCTTTTGAGCGTTTAGGGCAAAAACTTTCGGGTGGCTAATTGACCCACTTTCCGTCAACCTATCGAGCTAAAACTTGGCACAAAGACCCGCTGTTGATGACAACGCATTATTTCAAAGTTTCAGCCCCAACCCCCCAAGAATGATTTTTTTTTGTTTTTGTTTTTCAAGGGGAATATGAAGGAAATTTGATGCCACTAGTCTCATGAAATAAATTTCCCGATAGCTGAAATAGTTGGCGGAATAAATCTGCGGTGTAAAAAAAACCGGGCGGGACATTAGACTATTAATATAACATAAAATGATAACAAGTGCATCTAAAGGTTTTTTTTTAGTAGGAGTTGTATAATTTATCATTTGGGCCAAGGGATGCATTTTGAGAGGAGGAAATAAACAATCAGGTATGTTTGAACTCTAAATGACCTTTAACTCGGACCCAGTGACCCCAAAAATGTGTTCTGAAATGACACACGGACACGGGTTGGCTATGGACACGTTTCTCGTTTTCCTCATTTCATATGACTGAATTACAAGACAAAAACCCATCTTTTTCGCCAAGGTTCAACGGCCACAGTGACAGACCCAAAGCAGAATCACATTCAGCCGGACACCCCTATTACTGTTGATATCGAGGCGCCCATTTCCTTGGAGGTAACTGATGTAGATCATGATACTTTCCGAGCAAAGATGTATGTCATTTGTATTTAATTTTTGACCTAGCATGAAAAATGTTCAAATTCTACTCTGAAAGAAATGTATATATAATGATATGTCAATAATGGTAGAAACTGCTTTTGTTTTTTTTTTGTTTTTTCACCATTTGTGAGAGAAACTTTGATGGTCCAAGAGCTCTCTTCGACTGGACAACCGTCTAAGATTAAATATAGGTGTGTTCATCTCATCTACTCATCTCAGATTTTTAAAGGTCACCAGTATAAAAATTTTAAAACATTTTTTTTAAAAAGATGTACAATTTGCTTACAGCTATACAGAGTCCGAGGTCATGTTTCTATTCATATAATTAACCTTCTCTTATAAATAATATTCTCACTTCTCCCAAGAACATGAGCTATACAAATTCTTAACATGCCTTATTATAATTACACCCCAAAAATTATTCTAATTACTTGAGTTTATACACTTTAAAATCAAAAGATAGTTTATAATAATGTAGTTTTCTGTTTACTTCATAGTAGGCAAGAACCCTTGCTCTGATTTCGCAATGAGTTGTCAGGCTTCGCAGTTCTCTCAGGATTGGTGTAAGGGTTTCTTTCAGCTATATCTCGGGGGGGGGGGGGCACTACCCCCGCGGAAAGCCAAGTGCCCCCGGAGCAAAAATATGTCCAACAATAAATCAACTGGCACTGCTGGCACTACCCCCACCCCCCGAAAAATCTTAAGTGCCCCCCGGGGGCAGATTTCTGAAATAATCACTGATTGGTGTTGGCGTTGCAACAGAAAATTGATATAATTTCTTCAAGACGATGACGAAACGCATTAATATGTTAAATGTAATTTATTGCCTGACTCCAGCCACTCCGAGAGTCTAATATGTTAAACGTATTTTATCGTCTACTACCAGCCACTCACTCCCAGAGTCTAATATGTTAAATGTATTTTATCACCTACTCCCAGCCCCTCAAAGAGTCTAATATGTTAAATGTATTTTATCATTTACTCCCTGCCCCTCCCAGAGTCTAACATGTCAAATGTATTGTTACACCTGCTTGCAGCCACTACCAGAGTATTACGCCTCCACCTCCGAGAAAAAGCTCATCAGCAAATACTGGGAAGAGCTGGAGACCAGACGGATGGCCATGTTGAGGGAATGTGAGTCTAAACTGTGGAGCAAAACGCAACAAACCGCTGCAGGGAGCCCGGGCGCCATCTTGTATTTGCCGTCTGAGGCGTCGAAGGTAGACAAACACTAAGACTTGATCCCAACACTTGTATTTCATTCTTTTGTTGTTTGATGGTGTGTAGGCTGGGCGCCATATTGTATTTATCGTCTTGCGCGTCGAAGGTAGACAGACACATTATCGCCACACACGTATTTCATTCTCCTGTACCTTGATGATGTGTCGTTTGTGTTCTTTGTCAGTACAATGACGAATCCAGACGAATGTGTGCCCGCCCCGACGATGATGTATATGGAAACAGTCCTATCAGAGGCGTAGCTACGGGCAGTGGCGCGCTCGGGGTGGGCCGAAAATTTTCCCCCACGAAAACAAATTCCGCAGTTGTCCGAAAAATGCCGCCCCCTCATATGAAGAAAAAAAGTGTCACCCCCCCCCCTCCGCGCCTCTTTAATACGCTACTGAGTCCTATACACCCTTTATTTCTTACCAGCCTCTCTAGAAGAAATCGGCACCACGTCTTTGTATTGTCTTTGGGTGGAGTAAATATGTTTGTCTTGTTGTCATTTATATTTTGTTATTTTGTTATTTATTTATTCTTGACGTCAACAACTTGTCGTTTCAGTCTATTTGAGCAGAATAAAATTTTCTCCTGTTGAGACCAGCACATTTATTCTGAATATAGCTTTCTTCACCAATCATCTAGGGGCAGGAAAGGAATTTTAGTCTGCTTGCTGTTACCAGAAAATGCCGCCCACTAGATATACATTATAAAGAAAAATTTGCCACCTCCCCACCTCTCCTACGCCACTGCAAACATCATTAATATATATATACATATTATACATATATACGTGTATACATATATATATATATTCATGACGTTACATTCTGGCCATGATTAGACTTCCTATGGAGTATAATGATGTGTGTCCTGTTGGAATATAATAATATCTAATTGAATACGTCGTAGCGTAATGAGACACCAGACGCTCTTCAATCAACATGTGTCAATAACTCCAGGACGAAAAGATTATTTATGACCCGTAAGTCGATCCGTTATTAACGCCAAGGGGACTTTATGAGCAAAGGGGAGTTAATTGGCGTCAACATCGTCAGCCCTCGGCCCTTGTTTGGTAGAATGTGCACGTATATCAAGACAAAACGATATTTATATGTTATTGGGGGGGGGGGGCGCCACTGGGTCACACAGAATACATGGCGTACAATCGTTATTTGCGCATTTTTTAATTTAAAAAAAAAATTGTTAAAATTGTATAATTTCTACTTAGTTGTAAAATTATTTATTGTTCGCCCTTCAATGAAAACATTTAAAGAACGAGATCGCAGAGGAGCTAGTCTTTGAGGGACACATTCAATGAAGAGATGGCAGGGGGTTATGTCTTTGAGGGACACATTCAATGAAGAGATGGCAGGGGGACAGGGCTGGTCTTTGAGGGACACATTCAATGAAGAGATGGCAGGGGGACAGGGCTGGTCTTTGAGGGACACATTCAATGAAGAGATGGCAGGGGGACCGGGCTGGTCTTTGAGGGACGCATTCAATGAGGAGACCCAAATCATGCTTAACACACCGTATTATTTGATATGAAGCTATTTTTTAAAATAATTTTCCTGGGCCGCCTTAGAAAGTATGGTAGAGTAAACTTCTAGAAATTTCTTGTTTCGAACGTGGTTGACCGAATTTATCACAGCTCACTTCCAGGAAGGTGAATTTCGCAGCAATAGAAAAGTTCTTAGGAAAATAAACAGACCCACAAAGGATGAACAAGGATAAATAATACGAACCAACCAGGAATTGTATACTAAAGACTTATATCAGGAGTTTAGTTAGTATCAGAAATAAAGAAAGGGTGGACTAATGCTTGGCGGGACACTTAGAAGGATTGGCGAATGACAGATGAGTGAAGAGCTCTAGGGTGCACCCCCAAAAACCCGGAGAAAAACGGATCAAAGGCAGACCTAGGCATAGATGGATGGAAGATGTGGAAAAAATATCTACAGTAGCTAGGACTACAAGCATGGAAAAGAAAAGCATCGGGTAGGTCTAAAAAGAAGCAAGTGGTGAGGCAGGCCAAAGTCCTACATGAGGTGTAGCAGCAAAGAGATGATGGAAGGAAATGGTGAGGCAGGCCAAAGTCCTACAGGAGCTGTAACAGCAAAGGGGTGGATGGAAGGAAATGTTGAGGCAGGCCAAAGTCCTACATGAGCTGTGGCAGCAAAGGGATGAATGGAAGGAAGTGGTGAGGCAGGCCGAAGCCGTAGAGCCACAGGGATGGCAGACGAGTATAACGGTGTCAGCTGGTCATTGTGTCGTCTTTTCAAATCTTGAGTGATCCATTTCCAACAAGTGGCCCAGCATTACTTCCTTTTCACTACCATGAACACGTGGCGGCCAAAGCTATGAACCCTTAACAAACGCACGTACGAGCTCAAGACGCAAGAGTTTAGGCGCATGCGTCAGTTCCATCCACCAAACTATAGACTGAGATCGTTCTATGGGGGGGGGGGGGGGGGGNTTCAAGGTTTTTTGCTGTTTTGTTCCGTCGTATGATGCAATTTTTGCTGGATGAGTCTGAAAATAAAATGTGCAAGGCCCCAGTAGGTAAAAAAAAAAAAAAAAAAAAAATAAGAGTACAGTATTTAGTTATATGGTGAGGTTGGACACAGTTAATCTCTGCTAAATATGAAATCAATTAATTCATTTTAGATGGAATTTTGACGTTTTGAATCGAACAATAAAATCTTTGGTCTTCACGCGTTTACTTCTTGTAATACATAAACTTTAGTACCCAAAATTTCGATAATTATGTGAAATTATTGACTCCGGCATCAGAAAACAACAAAAACAAAAAAAATACAATCCAATATTTTTTATGCATAAACTTTTAAGGTTGCCAAACGTGCCAAACCAACGTCTCCAACTCTTGTCGCCAAAGTCCTCATCCCAGAGTATGAAGGCCGTGCCGTTGTGGACGAAATTGAGGAGTCCCTGGCAAAGTGTCTGAGAGAGACCAGGCGACTTCGTGGCCCCAGTAAAGGCGAGAATCACAAAGGTAAAGATGGCGTCCAATAAATATGTGTTTTTTTATTTGTGCACACACGCACAAAAATTGTCCCCCCCCCCCAAAAAAAAAACGCTTGAAGTCATTTTTTTTAGTTATAGGTGGCGACAAAAGGGGTGGGGAGAGGGGACCCCCAAGTTTTAATAAGGATATTCCTAAACAAAGAAGAGTTCCGTGTTTAAATTGTTCGTATTTTTAAAGGGGTCGTTCGCAAATTACGTCACGCTCGGGGGGGGGGGGGAAATTTATGACACGTGACGGGGGGGGGCGGGGATTAAAAATTTGTGGCGTCACTTTTTTCTTAAATCTAAAATTTTCTAATTTTGAAAAATCTTTTTCAATTAATTTTTAAAAAAATAATAAATAAATAAATTTGAGGTCGAAATTGCTTCAGGTATTATAGGTACCATGAAACTCAGTCGTGCAGACCTTCTGCGCATAGCGAAAAATGACGCAAACACTTTTGCGGCCATTTTACATTCGACTTGTGGATGACTTCGTTGTTTGGCGTCACAGTTTTCTAATAATACATCATAATCCATTATGGGAAAATGCTTAAGAATAAAATCTTAGTTCAGTTATGAAAATTGTATGTATGTTTGATTTTTTTTTTGGTGTGACGTGACACGGGGGTGGGGGGTTGGGGGTAAAGAATCTGTGACACTTTGAGGCGGGGGGGGGGGGGAGGAGAGGTCATAAAAGGTCAATTTGTGCGTGACGTTATTTGCGGACAACCCCTAAGTAAATGAGGTCGATAGATCTGTGTAACAGTATGTTAGCAAATACCAGTTATCATTCTTTTTATCATATGAAGGCCTTGGATAAAGACTCAAGTCAGCCGGTGTATACTGTGTCTGCGTAACTAAAAAATGACTATATTTTCATGTCCACCTAAGCTGATGGGTACATCACTGAGATTGGCAGACAGCTGGACCAGATCGGGGCCTGTCAGGCAGCCGGCGGTGTGCCCCCCAGCTTTGAGAAGACGGATGTGGCCATCGGCCGGGTCAAAGGTCAAATAGCCAAGGCCGCAGGCGAAGCAGAAGTCTTGGCCTTGCTTGAAAATTATCTCCTTCAGCTGAAGCTGGACCAAGAGACATGCATCGCAACTTTAGGTAAACACGGACTATTGAAACACTGATTACAATAACTCCAGCATTCATTGAAACGCTGATTGCAATAACTCCGGCATTCATTGAAACACTGATTGCAATAACCCTGACATTCATTCAAACACTGATTGCAATAACCCTGACATTCATTGAAACATTGATTGCAATAGCTCTGGCATTCATTGAAACACTGATTGCAATAACCCTGACATTCATTCAAACACTGATTGCAATAACCCTGACATTCATTGAAAAATTGATTGCAATAGCTCTGGCATTCATTGAAACACTAATTGCAATAGCTCTGGCATTCATTGAAACACTGATTGCAATAACCCTGGCATTCATTGAAACATTGATTGCAATAGCTCTGGCATTCATTGAAACACTGATTGCAACAACCCTGACATTCATTGAAACACTGATTGCAATAACCCTGACATTCATTGAAACACTGATTGCAATAGCTCTGGCATTCATTGAGACACTGATTGCAATAACCCTGGCATTCATTGAAACACTGATTGCAATAACCCTGACATTCATTGAAACACTGATTGCAATAACCCTGACATTCATTGAAACACTGATTGCAATAGCTCTGGCATTCATTGAGACACTGATTGCAATAACCCTGGCATTCATTGAAACACTGATTGCAATAACCCTGGCATTCATTGAAACACTGATTGCAATAGCTCTGGCATTCATTGAAACACTGATTCAATGAAACATTGATTGCAATATCCCTGGCATTCAACTAAACATTGATTGCAATAACTCTGGCATTCATTGAGACACTGATTGCAATAACCCTGACATTCATTCAAACACTGATTGCAATAGCTCTGGCATTCATTGAAACACTGATTGCAATAACCCTGACATTGATTCAAACACTGATTGCAATAACCCTGACATTCATTGAAACACTGATTGCAATAGATATGGCATTCATTGAGACACTGATTGCAATAGCTCTGGCATTCATTGAAACACTGATTGCAATAACTCTGGCATTCATGGAAACACTGATTGCAATAACCCTGGCATTCATTGAAACACTGATTGCAATAACCCTGGCATTCATTGAAACACTCATTGCAATAACCCTGGCATTCATTGAAACACTGATTGTAATAGCTCTGGCATTCATTGAAACACTGATTGCAATAACCCTGGCATTCATTGAAACACTGATTCAATGAAATATTGATTGCAATATCCCTGGCATTCAATTAAACATTAATTGCAATAACTCTGGCATTCATTGAAACATTGATTGTAATATTCCCAAAATTTAAGTAATTACATGTATTCTTCATTACATAAAATTGTTGGATTGAAAAATCTGCCAATTGCAATATACTTTCAACACATAAAAATAAAGACAGATTTTAAAAGAATTTTTTTTTTTAATATATCAGTATTTTTATATACAGTAAAATTAACTTGTACTAAAAAAAAAAAAAAAAAACAGGGTATTGTTGTGTCTGAGTTACATATATATTATATATTGCTCATGGAGTGGAAATGATTTTGTGCCAAAGGAATCAAATATGATACATTCAACTAAAGCCCCCTGCATGAAACTTGACATAACTCAATGTGTAAAACTAAGTCAGCCTTCCATTATGCAGCTGATGTGTTACTAAATTAGCGTGGGGAGTATTGAAAGTGGTTGCGTTATTAATGGCCAATAGTAATTGAAAACAGGAATTAGAACAAAGGACTCTTAATGACAAGGGGCATATCAGTTTGAAAAGTCTGGGAAAATAACCCGACTGCCAGTCATACAGATTTCAATTTGAGATTTTAATCGGAATATTTTTTAATAAATATGTACATAATTAGATATTGCTACATCAGTTCAAGGAGGTCTATGACTGAGATTTGCATATTCTCTGACAGATAAGTTGACTTTTGTTATGTAAAGTGCTATGCAGGGTGCTTTAGTTAAATATATCACATATACAGACAGACAAGTTAGAAAGACAGTTTTAATTTCAACTACAACAAAAAAAACAAAACAAAAAACTATATATTTTTTTTTTCATTTTTAACTTTAGGGTTGCCTAATCAACTAAACAGAGAACTGGACTATCCACAGTCGCCTGCTACCAAGAAATCTTAACCAGGTCTTGAGCTAAGTTATTAGAATGCATTTGCACAAAAATTTCTCTGTTTCTGATAAGTATAATATGTTAATAAGTATAAATATGTTAAGTTAGGAGGTAGCAGCAAACAAAACATACAAAAAAAACTCTGTGGGAAAACTGATTTGAGAATAAATTTATTTTATACACTTTTAAATAACGGGCATATTTTATTTCATTACAAACTGATCAACTGTATGGGTCAATCTCTCTTGCATGCTCCACATGAATAAAACTAAAAATTGCTGTGTTCCTTTTTTTTCTTTCTCTCATGTCTGTATAGCTCATAATTCTAAACAAAATAATGATAAAATATTGCCTTATAATGTCACCGAGTTAAAAGTTTGCATTAAAATCTGGAGACTATATTTGCGTTCGGCCACTTTAGAAAATGCATAAAATAATGGAATTAATTAACTGTGTCGCCAAAAACATATTAAAGAAATTTCAGCCTTGAAGAGCAGGAGGATTTGATTTCAGGGGCAACTGGTGTGTGACAGGTGATTTGTGAAGAACACTAGGACTGTCATCTGACAAACAGATCCGTATTCCTGAAACTTGTGTTGTCTCTGGGGAACGTAGAATTGCTATTTTAAGAAAATTAAGTAAATTTATTTTCTTATGTGTGATGGTAATGTTTTTTTTTTTACAAGACCCAAAAACTAACATACCAAACAATCGTCTTTGATTTATTTGTTTAAAATTTTTTTTCAAGTATATGGTAGAGCTTTTAAATCTCTACAGATATATTTTCACATGATCGAAATGACACAACAGAGAACAGAAACTTTCAAGCAAATCAAGCTTAATTGTGATTTCTCATCTCTGGGTCATCTCTGCAACACCTATGGGCAGCTTTACAAGCAAACTTAAGGTGCACCTTGTCTTTGAAGACACAAGACACAGTTTCAAGATATATAAATCCCTAACATAATCAGGATGCACTGACACCCCCCCCCCCTCTTCTGATTTTTAACTTTTAATGGAAATCAGTAATAACATAGGGAAGTGGTTCTCGACCTTCCTAAAGCCGCGACCCTTTAATACAGTTCCTCATGTTGTGGCGACCCCCAACCATGATATTATGTTCATTGTTACTTCATAAATATGTGTTTTCTGATGGTCTTAGGCGACCCCTGAGTAAGGGTCACCCGATCCCAAATGGGTCTCGACCCACGGGGTGAGAACCGTCGACATGGGGGAATTAGCCTTGTTGTACCATTCTTAAATCAATTTGAACTCTTGAGTTGTTTAGCGTGAGGTCCTGCCATCAAGATGAACTTACTTCATGCTATCTGTATGTGCCTTGTATTCCATGATAGTGTTGGGTGGCAGGTTTAACACTCGTTGCAATGTGTCTCTGATACGGGATGTGATGGCTGAGTCTGTGCTGCGGTTCCACAGTGATAAAATGTCGTCCTGGCAGTAGATAAAATAACATGCCCCTTTAGGCAATATATGGTAGCGAATATTTTATAGGATGAGATTACCCTCGTGCTTAGAAAACTGAACATTGGCGCCCTCTACTTTCCATAGCTTGGTTTATGTGGTAACCAATAGCAGGAGCATGTGAATTAAAAATAGCTGTTTAAATGAAAATTTGTAAAACATGATATTTAAACTTTTAAAAAAATTTTCCAGCAGGAAATAAACCAAATAATTAGTTAGGTAAAGCACAAGTATTTATTCATATTTAAAGCTTTTGGTAATGTATTCAAATCTTGCCGAGCGTCATAGGACCATGGCGATCTACATTAACAACTTCATCATTCAATGTACCCGGAGAAAATTATAAAAATATCTTATGACCCCACACCTCATAACCCACACTTATTACCCTGATTTATTTTTTAAAAAGTAGTGAGAACCACTATATAAGGTAAATCAAGTCGTAGTTTTTTTTTAAAAAAGATACAAATATTTTTTTTAAAAACCATTTTAAGCAAAGTAAATAAAACCTGATTAGATACCTCTTACAATATTTTAATAGATGCAACGACGAAATGATACCTGAAATCGTATCGAAATGACAGCACCACAGATTTCTTCTCCAACCATAAACTGTTCCCCTAGCATTGCCATGATCAGATTTTCCCAGCAGCGAGACGCCAGGCCTTTCTTAAGTCTGATGATCCACTTGCCTCCATGCTTGTTGGCATCATCCTGCATGACATTGGGTAAAAGAGCTAACGTTAACGAAACTAATTTTTTAAGAAAATAAAATTTAGAAATAAAAACATGGGGAAAAAAAGGTCTCCATGATAATTTAGATTAAGGGAAGATTTCTTCCTCAAGCCAAAATAAAATAATCCTTTACATTTCACATTTCTCAATATTTTCATGGATTTTGTTTTTAAATCAGAAATAGTCATCTTGTAAATTAAAAAGACAGGAATACAGTTTTTTTTATTTTACTCAACTTACTAGATCGAAATTAAAAACAAAAAATGGAATATATTTTTCCTGACTTTTGAATGCAATACCTTAGGGTTAAAAAAAATAATAATAATAATAAAAAAAAAAAAATATGATTCACCTCCCACATTGGCCGGATTCCTTCTTTAAATAAATGATAATCTACATGCCCTGTCATATCAGCTGGTCGAACTATATAACTGTATATGTTCCAAAACTGTTCAACCTGGAAACATTTGCAGAAATGGCATAAGATTATAGATGACAAAAAAAAAACAGAGGATTTTAAATCAAGACAATAATTACCATCTCCAGTGCCCTAAGAGCATAACTGATATGAAGGTATGCCTTTGCTAATAGTAATATACAATATATGTGTATATATATAATATATTTTTATATATATATATATGCGCATGAGCCAATGTAGATGCGCTTACATTCTGATTTTGAAAAAACATTAATTGTGATTTTGTATTATTTGTATATTATTTTATAGATATTGAATCCATTTAAATATCATCAACATATATCTGCTTTCATGAAAATATAAGTAATCTTTAATATGTAAGTATTATTTTTATAAATTATAAATAAATTTAATATAATTATTTTCTTGTAATTCAGAGATGTGTAGTAAAGTTTGGTGGGCCTATAATATTATATAGAGGATAAACATTTCTCAAACCCCAGTGGTGTTAGAAATGCAATGATAGCAGACCTGCTTACCCTCAAACTCTTAAAATCGTACAATATCATCACAAAATCGTTCTATACCTTAGATTTATAGTAAAAATTAACATGCAGTATATATAATGTTTACACCTCAAAATCGTACATTGTACGCCAAAATCGTAAGAGTAAACAGGTCTGTGATAGATACTTCGTTAAAAAAAAAAAGGGAAAGTCTGATTTACTCTTTCCTAAACTTAAATTTAAGATCCTGGAAAATTTTCAAAACTTTTGTTTGGACGATGCAATATCTCAAAACCTGATACAGTTACAAACAAACAAAATTAGTAGATTTTGAGACTTCGTAATAGCAGGTGTAGCAAGTAGAAAAATATGCCTTCCCTTTTAAGCCCAGTGACACTTTGGTGTTAATCTTGTAGTCTAGAAATAAAAAATGAGTGTTCCTCATATAGAGATATAGAGCAAAATTGGTGCAAACATATTTATTCCAATGTGATGTTTTGTGACTTGAATTACAGGAATGTGATGATATGTAACTTGAATTACTGACGATGTCCAGTTTAAAGCAACCCAGAATGTCTCAAGATTCCTTTTATACTATTGTTCTTATTTAATCTTTATAACCTGCCATCTGATACTAAGCTATAAAAAATTTGAATGAATTAAAGCTAAAAGTTCCATGGTTTGCATATGATAATGAATATCTTAAATTTATGTTAACTTACTGAGGCAAAGGATGCAATGAATTTGAGATTCTGATCATATCGCATTGTTTTGTTGGACTGTGACCTTCGAGAAAACCAAATGGCATAGTTGTACTGTAGAGCATGCTCTCCTTCTCCAGGTTTCTGTTGTTAAAAATTCACAATTTAAAATTAAACACTTTCTATTCATTAAATAAAAAATAAAATAAAAGTATAAACCTATTTGTATAAAACATTATACATTTTTAAATTCATTACGTAGGTGTTAGTTCTATTGATTAGAGGCCTCGATTCACACTAGAAAATATAAGGTATCTGGTCTACAGAGCATTACAGTAAGTTTGACAACATTCTACATTTTTTACACATTAAAAAATTAATATGAAACAAAATACTAGAGTTTGTTTGAGAACACTTACAGGAGCTGGTCTAAAAGGTTCTTCTTCTTCTTCCCCACTGTCCTCTGCCTTCAACCTATGATTACAAAAATTTCCCATTTATTAATTTGTAGATTACTTTAGATGAGATTTAGAAACTTGATGCCAACAGATGTTTGTATTGCACACAAGTTCAGCTCCTTAGATAATGCACAGAATTAAGAAGTACCAAGTCAAACAAGAATGAATTGGTTAAATAGAAAATGCCTTCAAAGGGGATCTTGAGAGTGGTTTATGATTTTACAATAATGCATCATCTATCATTTCTTATGCAAAAATAATGTTATATATTCATGAATGGCATTTTAAATTTTCTTTTTTTACTTTCCGTCTTCTATCTCAAATATGAAAAAATGTAAGGTTACACAAAGTAGCAATGTGATATGAAACAAAAGGATGCAATCTGTAACTTTGGATGGCAGAAAAATGGAGAGACCCTTAACTTAAACGGTTTTTTATGTGCATGTTCTACTCATCTTTAACTACTATATTTTTAAGGTACAAACGGAAAATCAAATGGATATTTTTTTTATGACTAGCTTGTGAGGTAAAAGTTGTATTTTCAATTGAAATAGAAGGTGCACAAATGGTTTTCTATGTATTTATAATTACTACAAAACAAAGATGGAGATCCCCAAAAGTCAAACTAATTTACAGCGTGATATAAAGTAAAATAACAGACTGAATTTCTTTTCCCTGGTTACCTTTCAGATTCTTGGTGGACATTTTTCATCATTGTAGATTTACTAGAGTATGAGACAGACAAAGAGAAAAGTGGCATTTCATCACAAATATACATGCCTCAGCTACCAATGACTGACTGAAATAGTATTTGATCCCAAAAAATAATTTGAAGAAAAAAAAAAAAGAACCTTTAGAAATTGATGATGTCTTTGTCTTATTTCAAAAGAAAAAGGCATGAAAAGTCATAATTTGTCAGAGTGAGAGTTTCAATAGTCCCAAATAAAAGATATGGTCACTTACTGGACTGAGAATTCTTCGTAAATAAAATTTAATTTTAAAACATTGTTTTTTCTTGTGGTAAAAATAAAATTTTCAAATTTCAATACAAATTTGTTAAACAAATTCACTGTAATTAAAACCCTTAGTGTTAAAGTTGTCTCAGGTGGTGATTAACTAAAATTAAAGCTATAGTTAGTAGTTTAAATTTTATTTAGGTCCAAAACTCTTATAGTTTAAAGACTTAATTAAACTGGCACTATTCTAGTTCAGTTTGTGGTGTTTTTTGTTTTAAATAGATTGGTAGTTTATTAACATTATAAAACTAATAAAAGTCCTTTTTTTTTATTTTGTAATTTCTGTTAGCATAGTTTAATTAATACATTTGGTTAAAATAGAGACATGGTCCAGGTTTGCTGAGGTCAGTGGGTCAAATATACACACTGTCAGAGTAGCATCTACTTGATTAAATGATTTAGCAAAACACATTTTTCATACTAAATACCAACTTAAATGAAGTCTCACTATTAAAACTCATGCTAAATACTACTGCTACTACTACTATTCTTATAGTAATTATAGTCATAGATATTCTTTAGTCTAAACCCTAAAGGATTTTTTAATTTTTTTTAATTTACATTAAATTATTAACTCTTAATTTTAGGCCTACTAATTAATCAAGCTTTCCTAATCTAATTTTAAGTTAAGCCCACACTCCACACCATGTTAATCATGTTACCACCACATCCATAGCCTCTACTAATAGAAATAGACGGGTACAGAGTCAGGGCAAGGACTATATAAGTTATAGTGGCTAATGATAGTTGTGGATGCCACCACATCTTTTAGGTGTTGCTGTGAATTAGGGTTCAGGTTAGGTTTAGGGATACATTTAGGGTTCAGGTTAAGTTTAGGGATACATTTACTTAGATATAGTGACAGAATTAACTGGTTTCCCAACCAAGAAGGCGGCCAATCATCATGGCATCCACAATCACCATTTACCATTATATTATAGTACATTATTATTTAAGTTATATTATTGAGTTATAAATTATAAAAAGTTATGACACATCAGCAAATGCTGAGCAAAGCTATTTCTAAACTGCTTATTAAAGTTTATAATTTATAATAATAATATCTTATATTATATAGCATAATAATAATATGGCCTAGTATGTACTAAGACTAAAGTCCTAAAGAGTGAATATGACTGCCAAAAAGTAGAAAAGTGTGTGTCTTACTACTACTAACTAGTTAAAAGAATGATCTGTGCAGATGTGAATCTCATCTGGAATCTGGTAAATGACTACTTAGTCTAGTTTGCATTTTTACTTAATTAACCACAACCAGCCACAAACAAAAACCAAATTTACTGAAAAGTGAAATAAATTCTAAAAATTCACTAAAGTTGCTTTTTTTAAACACAGGACAAAATGGAAAAAAAATCACGCTAATGTTCACAACAGCTTAAATAAGTTTTAGACTTTACTTACGCTTCAAATTTGTTGTTCATTATAAAATTATGAGTAATTATAGCAGAAATAAATATTTATTTAAGCTATCCAGATGGATGGGTCTGAGCCTGGACAGTTTATTAATAACGTTAGAGTAATTTCCCTTGACAATGCCAGGTGCCACAAAGTTTGTCGGTTTTAAAAGCTGCCACTTGACTCTTGACTGATAAAAAAACATTTCACAATATCCTTCATAAATATCGACATCTCACCACTTGTGACAATGAACATCGCATTACTAAAATGAGGACTATTTAATATTTGCCGTATCCTTGTTTCAGCAAAATCACACGTAATGAGGCTTTCAAATATCTTCATTTTTTAAAAAGAGTGTCGAACCAAACACAAACTTACCTACGCCCACCCCCACCCCACCCCCAATAATGTGATGGCTAAAGAAGAATATTCTTAAATAATCGCCATATACTCCTTGCCAACCTGACACCAACAGGGTATCCTCACCCCCCCCCCCCCAACTTATTTTCCTCAGACGGGATTACAGTCTATTAGACCTTCTGGTCCACAGTCACCTACGAACCAACCCATTACACACTGGGACTAAACCATGTTTAAGAAGCCGTTGTAGCACTGGCGTAGCAAGGGTCAGTGTCGCCCATTCCACGTTAAAACTTTTCCTTTTTGCCGAACATGCCACCCCTCTTTATAATGAAAAAAAAAAAGTGCTTCTCGGAGCGGACCACACCCACCATCTGCCTCTGTGTCCTGGAAACTAAAGTCATTGAATTACCTTTTTAAGGGAATTTTAAGATTTAAAGGGGGAAAAAGGGCTTCATACGTACTTGTCACAATGTTATTGCTTGCCGGACATGTCACCCCTGTTATATAGGTGAGAGGGGAAGAAAGCTATCTGATGCGCTCAGTGAACATCTACATGACATTGAACTAAACAAGCCATCTCCAACCTCATCCCATTTCAGCGGAGGTGACCACAAGAGGGGCACATCTGATTTAATAAAGGGAAGAATAAAAACACAGTAATTAAAAAATTTGTCACCAAATTGATTTAATAAAGGGAAGAATAAAAACACATTAATTAAAAAATTTGTCACCAAATGGAATCAATCAAATACTCTCATACTCTCATACTAGTGGTCCTCTATTAACCTTCATTTTTTTGGGGGTCTTTTTTTTCGTTTGAATTCTTAAACTTCACTTAAATATTTATAATATTAAAATTATTTTACCTCTTGCAATCTCATACTCATTGGTAGTATGCAGCACTGAAAAAACAAAAACAAAAGAAAAAAAACAAACATCACCTGCACCCCGGGTGGATGGGACTCGCTAACCTTGGATGGCAACTCATCTAAGAGAAGGAAACTCTGAATTCAAACCCGGAGATGGAGACCCGTAGGCGGATAACAATGGTACAATGGAACATTCCGACAACTCCTGCGATGCCACTGGTGCCAAGCTGTATCATCCACATGATGTTCCCTTTGGGATTTACCCAGCGGCGTGGAGAGAGGCGATTTGCTGTTGGGAACCAGCTTATAATCCTTGAAGAATGATCGCAGGCCATGTGGATTTCGCCCTGCGAAGACCACACCATCGTCACATTGTGACGGATGGATGCCAGCAAAAAAGAAAAAAAGGGTGCACCACAGAATTGTGCACACGTGTTGATTTTGAACAGCTTATATTCCGTCTCTGGCACAGAGCGCTACTGATTCTAAACACGGAGCTACATTTTAACTTCATTGAGATTTTCAAAACGCATACGTTTTTTAAATTTATTATTTCTAATTGTGTGTTGTATCTTGATGTGTATTGTCTGCCGAAGAAGAAGGCATCTGGCCGAAAACGTCCTTATTAATTGTCCTGTCTTTTCATTTCAAGCCCAAAGCGAAAATTCTCGTTCCACCGATTCTTTTGCACGGCCTGAAAGCCGCCCCCTCACATATTATTATTAATCCTTTATGATTAATAAGTGGAATTTCAACCAAATATAAACGACCGGTGTAAAAACGACTCGGGACGAATGTGCCGAATTTCGGCAATCTCTATTAACGATATAAGTGGACTTTTATTTTTTTTTGCTTAACTAAATTATTCAGTCAGAGATGCTATTTTTTGTTCCCAGTCAATTGACAGTAATAATGTGGGGGTATGAATAGCTAGAGATAACTCGGTTCGTTACAGTTTAGCCAGGACTATAAATGTGTATTTTGATGAAATCAAAGTCGTCCCAGTTTAGCCAGGACGATGAATGTGTATTTTGATGAAATCAAAGAGATTCAAATTTTACACCTCAAACCTCCGTGATCAATCCCCGAGTAAAACGCATTATTTGATCTGGCGTGTGACGTGAACAAACCAGAAGCCAGAATGATCACTACATGGATGGTGGGGCCCTCAAAATATAGAAGAAGAAGAAGACAAACCGTTTGTAGCACAAGACGCGGCCCTGAGAAAGCCGCCACTAGGCGACCGTTTTGTCCCCGCTACGCCCCGACCGGACAGCTCCCTGGGCGGTGGGGAGTGGTAACGCAACACCACCTCTCCGAGAGGAAGTAAAGCCGTCCTGACCCATAGGAGAGTGGACTACGGACGCTTTAAACGCAGAGCCCTCGGTCCGCCGGACGTCCCTCAGGCCAGGAGGGAAGTTCCCGGCGCACTTCCGCACGGTCTGGGGCTTCGGCTCTGACCCGTTTGGGGGAGTGCGGGGGGGGGGGTGTATTATGAGTGCAAACTCGATGACCCACCGACACCATCTCCAAAGTGATGTAGCACAAGAAAGTATCCGCCCTCTTCTGTTAATAGCTTGCATAATAGGGGACCATGACCGTGGCAATTTTTTGTGTTTTTTTTTTTGTTATTTGCGACCATTTGAATACGCCACATAAAAACTAAATTAATATGTTGGAGTGACTTGTCGATGCCGTAATATAACAAAATTGTGACTGTAACAATGAGGAACTTCTTTTAGTTTACTTAACACCAAGTATCAGTACAAAAGAAGTGGTGGATTTAATCAACTATAATATATGGAGTTGAAGAAATCTAACTCCTCGAACGCCCCATACCACTTTCCCCCCAAGATCTATTGGGGACCACAGTCCTTTTCACAGTTACCAAATGTGGTGTGGATTTATTTTAAATTTTTTTTTTTTTTTTTATTTTTTTTTATACCAATTCACATACCTTACCCACAAACTTGAAAGAGACAGATAAGGCAATAAACTCAAAATAAAGATAAAGTGTTATCATTTTGGCCTTTTAGTAAACAGCACAAACAATGCAAAGAGAAGGCAAAATAATAAATGTATTTTTTTCAACAAAAATGATAAAACAGTAATACTCCAGATTATTGTTACATAATACCTTTACAAGAAATAAGGTTTGCCGACAAGCTAACTCTAGGCATAGCAAGACAAATAAATATCAGTGACATGTATTCTGTACCTCATCATTAAAAATAATGACCAAGCGTAATGAAGCAAGCACCCACAGATATAGTTGCATATTGCAGAATTATTTCAAAGGATCATGATTGTGTAATAGATAGCTTCAAAGGATCATGATTGTGTAATAGATAGCTTCAAAGGATCATGATTGTGTAATAGATAGCCTTTGAGTTTCATTACATAATCAGGTGACAAAAAAAGTTGTTATTTAGGATGATGACTCAATAATAGGTGTTTTCCAGGGCTTGGGTCCACAGGTCATTGGTGGGTACATGGATAGGTTTCAAAAGATAACTATGGACACACACTTTGAGACTATTTTCCCTTATCACTATCATCTTATAGAACTTAATTCAAAGGGGCTTACGGCTTCAACAGGTTGCAAACAGGTGTACTTGATAAACAAAAAAATAGGTTGAGATCCCCCCCCCCCTCCCTTTCTAGGAGTTTCGACTCCAAAATGAAAATTGCGGATAGGGGTGGGGCGGAGGTTGGTTGAGGATAGGGGGCAGGTTGGTTGAGGATAGGGGGCAGGTTGGTTGAGGATGGGGGCAGGTTGGTTGAGGATAGGAGGGCAGGTTGGATGAGGATAGGGGGGCAGGTTGGTTGAGGATAGGGGGCAGGTTGGTTGAGGATAGGGGGCAGGTTAGTTGAGGATAGGGGGCAGGTTAGTTGAGGATAGGGGGCAGGTTGGTTGAGGATAGTGGGCAGGTTGGTTATACAGGTCTTGATTTTAAATACAATAATACTCTGAGTGAGGCACACCCCCAAATTATTGCCTATCAGGGACCAAAAGATAGATGACAAAATGTTGCTATTCAATTTAATGGTAAGATGAGAGCATTCAAAACCATTTTTCTTGTTTTTTTTATTTTTAACCTCAACTTATTGTACACCATGTTAACTGATACGCAACAGGACCAGATAAATTATGGTCAGTTATTTGAAGCAAGTAGTTCATTTGGTGTTGATGGACAGATCTTTATAAAAAATTTTTTTTGAATCCTTGAAGCAAGAATAATTAATCTGGTTTTGATGGACAGATTTGTATAGATTTTTTTAAAAAGCCTTGAGTTTTGTGTGAACAGATGTTTGTTGAGGCAGCGTGTGAAAAAAAGATTAATTGTTTCAATCTAGACTTAAAGAGCTTTTTAAGATTATTCTGTTCATCAGCTGTCTAAATCTCAACGAGTTTAATAACTGCGGGCATGTTTAAAAAAAAGATATAGCTTAAAAGGTCTGCGTCCATTCACAAAGAGAGTTCATTAAATCTTAAATCTAATTTAAATATCAGACGGATGAATGCTATTTTATACTTATGCAATATGAAGCCAGGCTAACATTTTGATTTAATATCTCAAACTAAAGACGTCAGTGGCATTGAATTATATACCTTTGAAAATAACTACCACGAGAGCTGACTGATTCTAAGCTAAAACTGCAACAAATAAAAATTCAATTCACCTTTTACAGCAGATCACAATTTTGGCTGACCGATGGTTGGCTCCACTGATGATTTGTAAAATTGAAAAGTAATACTGTATTGATAGATCCCATAATATGCAGGCCAAAATATTTAAAAAAAATATAAGTACCTCTTGGGAATCTCCCAGTGCAATATATATACTCAGTTACTTTCTACTCACAGCATAGGATTAAATGATCAATCAAAG